GCTCAGCTTTAAATTGTTGACATAATCTATGCCGCCTCTTTAAGAACTAAGTTTTAATATCATTTTGAGTAACCCACCGGGTATCACTGGGAGTCGATCACTTGACATTCCTTGCCCGGGTCACGTTTTTCCTCCATTATACAGTAGGTTTGAATTGTTGGCTTTTAATTTCAAGCTTGAAACTTGATACCTTGTTAGGCGACAGAAGATGTTTCTCCCCAACAAAGTAGTTGACGGTGTTGCATGGCTACTTGGTGCCGTTTTAATGCGGATATTTATACCCTTTTCTAAGGAAACGCTTCATTCAGCTTCTCAACCTACACTACCAGATCTTCGATAAATCGCCATTCTAAAACAGATCTTGTTTTGTAGGATGAACTTTTTTTGCATGAATAGATTGGTGCGCTTAATTTTTTTGTTTCAAATTTATCGAGGCTTTAATAGCGAAACCTTTAGGTGTCAAAATCTCTGTGATATAAAGCGCATGGTCAGATCCAAGGTAAATAAAGCTTCTTTCGCACGAAATCTAGGCTTCTTTCGGGATGGTATCTAATTGGACAAAATCACTTGAATCATTCGGAGTAGCAGCTGACATATCTGTTCTGATGGAATGTCTGGCCAACATATTTTTTGTGTATATCTGCATTTTAAATAGCCGTTCTTTTAATTACTCATATGAGCTAGCGACCGTAGTATTATTTTACGAATTGACTTTTTCCAACTGCTAGCAAAAAAATATGTAGTTTTTGCTGCATTGCATTGGCAATTTGATAATATCTGTTCTCTGCTTGATTGGTGGCTAGTATTCGCCAAGTGAAAAGAGCGAAGTGGAGCAGATGCGAGGTTGTGAGACATCTGGCCTAACAGTCGGCGGCTCGATTCCGGCACGTATTTCAAGTATTGCTCACTTGAGTAATTAAAAGTTTCTGTACTTATTTTTTATACTTGAGATTTTTTGCTGTTTTGTTGCTTGTTTGCGAAGTTTATTTTGCCTGACAAATTTTTTTTATTGTTGATGGTAAAATAACTCAGTATTTGTAAGTTTTGAATAATGACACATTGGGATCAGTAATGCGTCCGGCTGATTATTTCAATGAGGTGAAATAATCAGCTGAGACTTCATTCCAAATTCAATTAAGGCCTGCTATTTGATCTTATTGGTAATTAATAGCGGCACAAATTAGGCATAGTATGTGGATTAAGATCTTCAAAGAAATGTTTCGAAAATTTCAGTTTTTCAAATCTTAACATTACTTCGTAGACGTGAAAGGGCACTCCCAAAAACTCATCTCAATTATGAGAGCGAAATTTCAGTGGACCAAAGAAGCGATTTAACTGTAAAAACTAGTTTGCATGTGTTATGATCGAATCTTTTAAATGGCTTTTTTAGATCTGAAATGAATTTGAGGTTATTAGAACCAAAATGGAAGTCAACAGAAGAAAAAGAAGATGACCGAAAAAGTATTCAATTATGGATACTTGACATAAAATGAAATTGGATCGAATTAATGCAGCTATAACATCATTGCATGAAGGATTCTATATGACTAGTTTCACAGAGCGAGAGACGGGATTGAGCCATGCTTAATCTATTCGACAAGTTAAATCTTCGGTAGTTCATATCACCTTCATGAGCGAATAGAAGAACTGGCTATCTATCCCTTTTTTCTTCCTCTTTATATTTATGTATCTCTGATCAAAAGGATGATAGGCTTTTAGCTGGCCTTTTATAGCCCCTGGGATCGAAATTCAGTTCTGACAAATCCTTCCCAGCCAGAGCGAAAAGAGAATTGTCTTGTTATGTCCTGAATTAATCAAAGGGATTCTGAGAGCGCTCTTCTGAATTATTAAGTAGTTACTCCATCAAGCAGTCGCAAAAGTTACACTCTGGATAATTATTAACCCAATTATTATACACTCTCTTCATTCTTAACTAGTTGGGAAAAATAGTACTGTACTTTTTTGAATTTTTTGTTCGAGTTTTTCCTTTCAACCAATAAATCTCAATGAGTAGCAATTTTATTTTGTATGCGGGAAGTGAGCTTTTAAGACAGCTCAATTACAAGTTTTCTTTTTTTTTTCGAAGACATCTGATCTCCTGGCAGCGAATTGTCACCGAGTTTATTGTTAATCTTTTAAGCTTCTTTTCTGCGGCAAAAACGGAGTTCATAGTTAATATGTATGCATAGGTACACGCACGCTTGATTAGGATATTGGTATATTAGATGACCGTTCTGACCTAAAAGCAAACACATAGCCAAGTTCAGACAACCACCTGGGCGGTTATATTTTAAACCAAATTGGCCAAACGAAAATTACTATTGAGTAATGATTGAACCAATCAATAAAGCTCTTATACTTAATCTTCAAGGTGTACTTTTTCGAAGTTTTGTGTAACTCAAATCTCATCAACAACACTAATGATTACCTGGCGGAACTCAGATTCCTAAAATGATTAGTTAAAAGTAATTTATTACTCAAAGATTAATTGATTAAATAAAGTCCGTTTTCAAGCAACAAATGGTTGGAACAGTTGCTGAACAATTGTTTCAATCAGAAATCCCAGCGCCTGCTGCGTACCATGGAAATTTTTTCCGATTTAACTCTGTTACGCCAAAAAACTTGAATATTTTTTTCGATAATTTTATTGGTATGTCGGCTTCAAGAAAGCTTTCATTTTTTTACGCCTTCAGCCTTATGCATGTCAGAAATACTATTGCGATCATAAGGAAACAAACTTAAGAGAAAGTAAACTATGTTTTTAAGACGATATCATTTAATTTGGGGGAAAAATTTGTTTCCGGTTTCTTTCTTTCAAAATTATTGATGATTGCATCGAAAATTTATGAATATCTGGTTGGTATTGCAAATCATTTGATATATATATATATATATATATATATATATTGAAATTTGAATGATGTACTATCAATTATTAAACTTTTTCCGGTCGTTTTTTTTTAATTTGAATTTTCAGTCTTTCCTTTCTGTTGTTTCTTATATTTTCTGTTTTGTAATTGGGCCAGTTTGATTAACTTAAGTTAGGGAAGAAATGGGCAATGGAGAAACTATTTTTCTCTGGGCGTTGGCAAACCAAATTATTGTCAAAATCTAATTTGCCTCTAGCTTAAAGGTCAATATCTAAGAGGTGTGCGTGCGTGATACAAAATGAAATGTTTCAAAAATGAATGTTTCCAGCGCTAAAAACTGCCCGGCTTTCTTTCTGTTATTAGCTTAGCTATCTGGCGTTTTGATAAAAAGCTCGTCTTGTTAAGGGGGTTTAAAATTTTTGAGTTTTCCAGATTTCAAGTTTTTTTCCGGCTTGAGATCTCTGCCGAAGTTTTTTATCTTATTGGTTTCTTGATGCAACGTATCGGCTGCAGTGAAAAAAGGAGATTATTTTAGGTGTAGAAAGTAATGGTTAGAAAGTAAACGCTTGCTATGAGATCAGTTCAAAAGGCGGAAAAAGAAGATCAAATTTTTGTCTCAACACCAAAGCAATTAGTTTCTGGACAGAAGTACAGCTTCTCATAAGTAGTGCTTGTTAAAATATGACTCATTTTTTTTTAAGCCGTACTTGCCGCTTTCTGTTTTTTTTTCTTCTATTTGGTCATTTAACAAGCATCATTTAACAAGCATTCAACTGTCTGCTTGGTATTTTTTCCTGTCTCCTGTCTGAGTGTTACTTGTAGATTGTGTGAAAGTGTGTTATCCAAGTAGCCGTGGATTAGTGAATAAGGCAGCTGACTCTTGGTTGGGAGTGCCACTGTTCAAAACCCTTAGTCTCCCAAGTTGCTTACGCTTGCGATTGGTAAGTTTTTCCAAGGTTAGCAACTTACTGATAGAATCACTGAATCGTTTTCTCAAATCTCTAATTTTGTCAACCAACAGGCATATTGTGAGTATGTCTGGGGTTTAAATAATCGGTAAAATCGTAAACCGTTTTTATATTGGTTGTAAATTTATCAACTCGGATTTGGTATAATAACGATTTTTCGTTTTTTATATATCGGAATAGTTGCCACATATTGCGTCATTTGATGAGCAAATTGTTTTGAATAGGATTTTTAATATTCATGAATTGTTTTTGGCCCATAAGGTATGTGCTTTGTTATCGCTTCATAAGTTTTGTTGTATGGTATTTAATGGTCTTACTTAGCATTTTTTCTCTTAAGTTGAACTTTTTGAAGGCAAATCGAGAGAAACATTTGAATATTTTGATCGAGATCGATAGTTTTCAATCTTTTTAGTTTTACTCTTGCGAGAGCTAATGTCTTGTAATTGGGAACTTGAATTTTTACCGTAAACAATTTTTCTTACTAATTTGTGAAATTTGAACTTGCTTTATTATTAAATCGTAACAGCTTCCAGGATTTTTTTCCACTTGGACTAGAGGTAACGCGGACGCCTTTGAACCCTATGCTTTGGGGTTCAAATCCCGACTGACCTTGTTATATTTCAGCTTGTATGAAATAACAAACTTTTTTCCTGTAAAAATGAATTGTCAGACTTTCGTTTGTCAGCTTAGTTGCCACATCACGTTTTTTCGTGTGCTGTTAGCAAGTTTCTATGTAGTTGCAAGTGTTGTTCATTGTATTTTCAGGGAGGACTTATTCAACAGGATTTATTCTGTTGCTTATTTAATTTTCCTTTGTCTTGCTGGGCATGTTTGCCTTGAATGGATTTTTATCAAGACATGCGAAAATTGTGAACCTTTTTTTATTTCATTTTTTGACTTTTCTATATTTGTGCTGTATCGCCTCTGTTAGGACTTGGGCTCATTTTCTGTTGGCTATTTTGTCAAATTATATTTGTGTTGAATCGCAAGTGCTGCGAAGCTCCGCCTCGCCTTTGTATGTAAGTGGAAATTAGTTTTCGTTGAAATTGTTTTTCTAACCGTTTTTAGCTCGCGTGCAGCCTCTGTTTTAGTTTTTCATCCATGTTTACCAAAAAATTTTAAAAATTTTTATATCAAAGTAAATGGTTCAGATCCGGCATTATTTTAAGTAAAGACTAATACGAATTTGTACTGAGAACACTTCGGGTTGAAAATGCGTCATGATCCTTTATTTCCATTTGCGCCAAACATGTGATGGGAGTTGTTCGTTTTATTGAGTCCAATAAAACCAAGAGTAGATTCACCACTTAAGGAGAGATGAATAGTGGAATTTCAAACGGAACTCAGTTAGCTAATAAAAGTGAATGTCTTAATTTTATTGCCGAGTTTTGTGCGCTTTTGAACTAAATCTGCTGGAGTTATGCAATGAATCCTACTTCGCAGATGAAATCAAATTAGACCGAAATGGTGCATTCAATAGAATATAGTTTATTGATAATATATTTAGTTGTCTTGTAGTCGCCATCTTAAAACATACCAATTGCGGTTGCTTACTTGCTTACTCTTTGGCGACTTTAGTTACTTGAAAGGAATATTCTTTCCGCTCTCTGGTCTCCTATGGTCATTTGATGTCTTATCTGCCCCTGTTTCTCTTTTTCTTCTTCTTTTGGTCTTACATTGGAGCGCTAAAAATGTCAAACTGAATTTCGTCGCACCAATTTGCGCATTAATTGTATTCAATTTGTGGCCCCGGTACAGAATGCAGTTGGGTTTTTGGGCGCCTAGGGTTGTAAACGGCGGGAGAGATGGAATAAAGGGCGAATTATGCCAATCGAGGGATTGAATGATGCGCAGATTCCTGTTGAAAGGTATAGTTACACAAAGAAGTAGAGCTATCTCTTTCTTTCTCTGTCTTTTTTTTCGCAGCGGTTTCTTGCTTTAAACAGGAGATGAAAAGGAAAGTTCCTGATATTTAACGCTACCTCCCCGAACTAAACGTGTCCTCTTATTACTTACTTGGCCTCAATTCAATCTTCAGTTGAAAGGAAAATGCGTAAAAATGGTACAATGGGTTAACAAACAAATTTAGTGTGACAGAATTGAAAGAATTTTGGCACACTTAACAAAATGAAACTGTCTAAAAGCTTTCCAATCAGCTCTATTTTTCCCAATTGACAAGTCGGATTTTGAGAATCGAATCGATTTAATCGATCGATCGCTTCTGTGATGAGTTTTTTGAATGCGAGGAACACGTTGTTTATTCACGCCGCTTCCTCTTAATTGATTTGTCGCGGGGCTTCAGTCCCTGTTACTTTTTCATTCCAATGGCTTGCAGCGAGTCCTAATTTACTATTATCAGTCAGTTTATCTTCAGCTAGCAGCGGCTATTTAAACGAAGACGCAAAAAAAATAAATAAATAATGGCGTCATGGAAGGAATTTCAATGAGAAGTAATTGAGAAAGCCATGTCTTGTGGCTTAATTCTAGTTGGAGTTCATTGGAAGAGGATTTTTACCAAGCAAATATCGGCAATTACTTTGTGCAATAAAGTATAATTTGCTTTGTTTGTACAAAAATTAATCGCCATAGCAATGGCAATACTTTCAAGTGCAATACAGTCGCGAGCGATGCTGCCGAAACGTTATAATTCGATTTATTTCTGTAAATTATTTCTTTTAATGCTGGTGTTTTTGAGCACTTTTTTGTTACAACCTGTGTTGATCCATGCGCAATTCAACTCCGAGGTGTCTTCTGGATTTGGAAACTCACAGAGCGATTCGCTGGACCGCAACCAACCCCCGTCCGCGACGACTGCCTTTCCAGAACTCGCGAGGATGAGGACTCTTGCCAAATCCACGGTCTTCAATTTAACAGTGGGCGTCGTAGTATCGGACAGAAATATCATTCAAAACTTTCTGATTCCTTTCTTCAGGGAGCTCAACAACGAAGCTCCGGTGGCTTCCAGACCCACTGTGAAGTTACGACCCATCTTTGACCAGCCTGATCTACCGACAAAATCTGCCAACCCGATAGAAGCGGTGCTGAAAATTTGTGAACGGTGAGAATTAATGATTTTCTTCATCAATTTTGAAGGTTTTTGAAAATACAATTTGGTTTTGACTATTTTTATGTCGCTGTTGTTTTGTTTCTCAGTTTGAATCAATTGTCGGGAGTTTCAATGTTGAAGTTTTTGAGAACAAATGTATTGCAATCGAGTACAATACTTGTTTCCCGTGAATGACTTTGTTCACGGGACTGATCTTCTATAGGCTCTCACAGGACTTATTTCCTGGAGGCTTCTTTTCACAAAGTTTTTTCGATTTTTTTTTGCATCTTGGTTGTGCAATAACGAACTCCATTGTTGTTTTTGTAAGTATTTTTCATTTCAAATTTTATTCGGCTCAAAGAGTTTCAGCCTATGTTATATCGGCTTAGTAGTCTTAGAGTGCGTCTTTTAATGAGCAAAAGTATATTTTCTTCTAGGAGGGATTTACAAACCTCGAGTTTCGATTTTTTTATGCTACGGGTTTTTTGACATCACATTTTTTGGGCGCAACGGTCGTCTACCCTAATATTGTCTGCTCAGTAAGCGCTTTATAAATTTTGTCTAGTGTTCGCCTAATTGATGTCGACAATTTGCCTACTCGGCTTCTTGCTTCGAAAATGAGTTTCTTTTGAGACAAATCGAGATATGAACTTTTTGGACGATGCAGTTTCTAGGTTCACCCATTATTTTTGTTTATTTCATTTTGACTTCGGCTTTTTTCTGTCGGCTAGCTCGCCATGCTATGTTTGTGCTGGCGGAGGTTAAGTTCCACTCTGCAATGAAAAAATGAACTTGTTGGTAAATTCAGTCAGTCATTGGAATTGTTTTCGAATCAAATAAATATTTTTTGATTTGGTCTCAAAAACGTTTGTTAGATTGAGAAGTGTCGATCATTTACCGAAATTCAGAGAGGTATATGGTGATTGTATTATTATTTTTGAATTTCTGTTTCTGGAAAAAGTTATAATGAAGTTTGTCGCGTTGTGTGGACGAAATACAATAGCTTGAAGTCAAAAAATTTTGGGCGTAGTCGCATAAGAAAATGAACAGGTATGAAAGTTGAACCCAAAATCTCAGGTATGACAGGGTAGAACTAAAAAATTCTGGTTTTCTGCGGTAAAAGCGTTCTGGTTTTCGGTCTTATTGTTGCAGCACATAGGTACTATACGTAATTTTCCGCGGTAATAGATAAATGATTTTTTTCTTTTTAGGGGTTAGGCGAGACTAAGAAAACTTCCATAAAGTGATGAAAAGTCGATTTTTTAGTTTCTTAATTATTTGCAGTTTTGTTCTCGATATTATCGTTGACCTGAGTGTTTCCGAAAAGTATGAACATCGCTTTCACATCAACTGATTTATTTTGTATGGCATCGATGAATTGAAAAAAGTTGTAAAAATTGTGATAAAATTTATAATAATTTTCGAAAAATTGATCTGATGTAACAAACTGTGGTTTTATTGCACTCGTGTAGTACTCATGGTCATCATGGTTTAGTACTACACCTGGGTTGCTGCTTTTGAACAACGTTTTTGCGTTGGTATAAATCAATTCTTGAAGTTTTTCAGTTTTGTGTTAAGAATTACACAAACGCTTGCATGTGTTTTTTCTGCTTTTCTGTAGCGTCTGGCTTAATTATAAGATGAGCGTTTAACTATATAAGGCAGCTAGGATAAATGACTCATTCAGAAAAAATGGGCTTCCTAATACAGAGGTTAGTGGTTCGAATGGCGTTGTTGACTTTTGTAATCAGCTATTAATATTTGTTTTCAATTTTTTTTCTTCCAGTGTTGAAGCACTGTGTTGCTTGTGTTTGCGAATTGAAACTTCTTTTCTCTGTAGTTCATGGCAGGAGATATTTGATTGGTCTGCTTCTACATGTTTTAAAAAGTCAGCTTTTTTCTCTAAAAGTTTTCAACTTTTGCAGAGTTGTTATCTTATGTCTAAACTGTGTGTTGGGATCTTGATTTCAAAGATATAGCCGATTTTATAGATTCCATTGATTTCACTTGCGAAACAAGTGAGTTGTGATCGGTAATAAACTTTTTCCCGTAAACAACGTTGTTATAAATCTAAGATATTGAACTTGATTTGTTAAGGAACCTCAAGAAATTCTAGGTCTTTCTAGCTTGGCTAGTTGTAAATAGCATGTTATTGGATTCTAAGTTCTGGAGTTCAAATCAGGAGCGGACCTTTCTTTTATATGTATGGAATGAAATTTTTTACTGGTAAGGTTTGAATGGTCGCACTTTTGTTTCTCTGCGTATTTTTTGTCGGCTTGACAAGCATGCAGGTTTCTTCTGATTTTTAAGTTTTAGTAAACATGATAGTCATTTTGTAATTTGTTAATTTACGAACTCTTATTTTTAACTTCTCCTAATGTATATTAATTGGATTTTGTTCGCTTAAATGGTTTCGTGTGTGTTTGTGTTAGGTTCGTGCAGCAGGGCATAGGGGCGTTGGTGTTGCGGAATGAGAATAGTGAACTGATGACCCCAGTGGCCATCTCCTACACTCTCTCCTTCTACCAGATCCCCATCATATCCATCAACGACAGAAACAACATCTTCTCCGACAAGGTACCCAACTACTGATTCACCTGCTCCAATTTGTCCACTATTATACGTTGCTATTATCAAGTGTCAATAATTCAAGTGAGGAGAAAGTTATTGAGGTCGTGTTTTGTTGGTTTTCTTTCAGGAAAAGTGCCGGAAAAAAAAGATTTTTGCAACGCAATAAAGAAATTGATTCGGTTTTCTCAAATTGGGTTAGTTATATTAATAAATTTTATTTGTAAAAGAGTCATGAAATTCAAAGAGCTTTAAGGCGATGAAGTTGTTTCCAGGAGACTCGAAATTTGATATTTTTTTTGAAAATTTAAGTCATTTATTTAAATTTCCTTGAGCTCATTGATACTTTTCCTGTGACTGTTGGCTGTGTTACTTTTGTAATAAGTTTTATTACATGTTCTCACTGTTTTTTGGAGAAATTTTACGTGTATAGAAACCTGCAGGCTTGCTTTTCAATTTCAATCTGGTTTCTCAGTTTGAAAAAAATAGCTTGCGTATCCTTCTTAAAATTTCCTCCAAGTAGCCAATAATTTTCCTTTTAAAATAATCATTTACATTTCTGTCCATTATCTCTGACCATTGCATCCTGATGGCTTTCTACCATTGCATCCTGACGGCTTTAATCATAACCTTGAGTCTTGATGTGAACTAGTTTTTGACTGACGTAGATGCAAATTTCAACATATCAGTTAGAAATACTTCCGTTTGTTGGAAAAATTGGAAGGCCCAATTCAAACATTGCAGGTAGAATCAACTGAAAATGGAGAAGTTGGGCTGGCTCGCTTGCAGTCAACTTGGCATTTCCTCTGATGCCGGATATCATTGTGTCCCTGATCCCTCCCAAAGCCCCGCCCGACCATCGAACGGTGCTTGGTAAATAAACCGATAGGACATTAAGACGACATGACACTACGGCAACAAATGAGCGTTAACACTTTAAACATACTGTTCGATTTTAAGCGATTTGTTTTTCTCAGAAAAGGAATTGTGTAACAGCGTCTTAAAATACCCTCTAAACGGTTTTTGTCTTACTTAACAGCTGTCGTTTAATTTGCCCAACTCTTCGCCAAACACCCTGCTGCGGTTAACTTGAACAAACAACACATTCATGCTTTTGCTATATCCCATTTGTAATTAAAACTACCTACAACAATGTGCTATATACAGACGATTAGAAAGGAGAACAGAGATGCTTATGGATTATAAATAGTTGAATAGGTAAAATTGAATTATTTGATTATTTTAGGGTTTTTTCACTATATTTAGTTTGTACATTTAGACGACTGTTGTATCAGCTCAATTTTTCTAAACGAAGAACTGAACTCACAAAAACGCACCGGAAAATTTTTATAAGACCAGTGAACAAAGTCCATCGTTTTTTGATCGATACCCGCCCTGCTGGCTGAGCATGGTTTATTTTACCTTTATGGTTGATTAGTTGGGTAAAAAGAGAAGATTAAATGGTCTGATTCCGGGGGGTACATGTAATCAAGTATGGATGTTTTAAAGCTGGATATAGTGAATTGTTTTTTTTTTTGAAGGTATCGAATTTTCTTTTGGCGAGTTTTATGAATAATAGGTAATACTTTTTTGTTTGCCGTGCAATTGCTTTATTACAGCGTTATCAAACTACACGTCTTCGCATCATATGGGCTCTGCAGTAAAGTTATAAAACTCCACAATGGGGACCTAATAAGCCAAATCTGCAAAACCATTTAACATTGTAATCAATAAACAATTGCACTTTCGATTAACAAGTGTTATAAAATCGGGTACTAGATTTTTTCAGACCTTTTTGCAGCTGACGCTCAACCTAAATGGACAAAGACCATGCTTTGTTTGACTGCTTCTTTGTCGGCGTAGCTTATGCTTAAAATGGAAATCCTATCAAAATGTTCCTGTTATATGCAAGTACTTCGTTCCAGAAATTTTTCTGTTTCTTTTTCCACTTTTTTTTTGGAAGGTTTTTTAATCGTTTTTTTTTTTTTACAATTTTGAAGCTTTTATTTTTTGTATCAAGACGAAAGCAATTAATAGCGCCTTCTCTGAAAATTTGTGGCTCTTTCTGATTGAGACTCTTGCGGCACAAATTTGAGTTTGTAATTTCAGCTTTAGGAATCATAACGGTTACAGAATAGCTAGATCATACCTATTTTTGTAAAAAAAATATATTGAAAAATGTTTAAAAAATATGACATTTTTTTTACTATGTGGTTAAAGGCATTAAATTTTTTAAAGAAAATGCTTTGGTTGTCTTGGAAAGCAGTCGAAGGAGATTCTCTCGACTTTCAAAAATTAGACGTGTGTGTTCAAGTTATTGTTACGACCATTGAAAATGGAGAAATTTGTATTCTGGGGTATTTTAGGTTTTTTTCGTTTTCCACACAAAATCAGGTATCTCAAATAATTATCGGAATAATTTGAGTGATATATCATATAAGAGCTCTTTCAGTCGTGATTCGACTGACTTTTCCAAAAACTATCTCAGTATCGAGAAAACAATTTTAAAGTTTTCGATTTTCAGTCTAAATGCGAGCGAATAAAGCGAGCAAACAGGTTTACAATAGCTTATTTAAGCCGTGTAAATTTAGTTTTACTCGAGTATAATTCGTTTTTGGAGTTATTTTTGCACCATTTGGGAATCAAAAACTTCAAAAGATTTCCGCAAACAAATTTGAAAAAGTTGTCGACTATTTTTTGATTTTTTAAATGATTTTTTGTTTTTGAAATCATTTTTCTACAAAAATTGTTGTCCAATTTGTCTTTTATAGTATGGCTGTCGAAAATGCCCAAGTTGAATTTTTTTGTCCAGATCCTGTCGTGACACCACTCGTTTTTTTTTCCAGAACATTCTGTGCTACTTGCACAGTAAACGGCTATATTTGTTCTGATATATTCTTGTTTTTTTTAGGCTATGAAAATTCAAAAATCAATGACAATGAGCTGTATGTTTGCCTGTTGTCGATAGATATATATTAGTTTTGTTCCTGAGATCTTTTGGTTTTCTTCCATTATTCTGCATAGTAGTAGTATGATAAAATAAAGTACAACATTAAAGAGCGTGGAAAAATTTGCGAACTTGAAGAAAATTCATTACCCTGTACGCTTGCCGTTATCCAGCTTTACCTAGTCGGAACAATAAGTTTTTCTAGAGCAATCACTTGTTTAAAAGAATCACAAAATATTTGTTAGCTTAGGTTCAGAATCAGTTTGAATGTTGCTTCTGATGCTCTACTCTTAACCTGGTCAGAGGTCAGATACATTACGGAGGTCCTGTGTTTGAATCTGGTCGGAGCATGAAATAAAGTATTGTTGAAAAATCTATTGTGTGCTTAAATTTGTCGCCTTCACGGCACGGATTTTTTTTTACAAATTAAACAATTTCAATCAAATTCAGGATCTTTTTGAAGTTTTTATGTACTCGTACAGGTAATTGAGTTTCAAGAAAGTTGCTGAAGTTTTGTTTTGTTAGAAGAATTAATTTGGAAATTCAGTCCGAAATTTCCGGTCTGAAAAATTAAAAAGTGAGAACCATTCTTTCGCTACCGCTGTACTAGACAACTTTACTAACCAAAAAGCGTCCCCATTTTTTCGTTTTTCAGACTGGAAGTTTTGGACTGAGCTTTCAAGCTAATTCTTCTCAAGATTTAACGATGTTTTGCGTGTCTTCTGGTTAACAAAAATTAGATAACTAACTTATTAAAGTCCTAAATAATTTTTATAGGCTTTCTCGTATTAGTTTTTGTTATTACCCCTTGCAATGAGCAAGGGTATTGCAATCGGGTACTGGACTTTTCCCCCGTAAATAACTTTGTTTTCACAGAATGCACAAAATTAGAAATGGTAAATTTAGGTTTAGTTCATAATGTATTCAATTTTTGTGTCTCGGGCACACTTGGTCTGGAGTTAGCGAATAAGTATGGGAGGGCAAAGGTCCTGGGTTCGAATCTGACAGGAACTGTTTTTTTTCAGTGTTTTGATTAATCTGCGTTTGTTATTTTACTAACCTTGACTTCATATCTTTATAGGTTTCGGACTATAATAAATTGGTTTAATGGCCTCATATTCCGTCTTTTGACGAGCGAAAAAAAATGTTTATCTGTGCGTTTGTATGTGTTTTGAGGTTGAGAGGAATTTAATAACTTTTTTTAGTCTTTAAATTTTTTCTTTTTGGCTCAATAGGTTTCGGCTTATTTATATTCGGCTTAGTGGCCTTATACTGTTTCATTTGAGGAACAAAGAAAGCTTTGTATGTGTCTGTGTTTTGAGCGCGATGGGAACTTGTTAGCTTTTCATGAATTCAAGGGTTTCTGTTTTTCGGTTTTGTTACCGGTTTTTGGCTTGTAAACGCTTGATCAATTTTCTTCCGATGTTTTTTTTCACAATTTATTTTCTGGGCATATTTTTGTTTCGAAGCTAACCTTACTCGTTTTGATAGATTTAGTTTTTCGACATTTTCTATTTTTTTTCGACTTAGCAGCTTTCTTTTTAAGAGTAATGAATTTTGTATGGCAATTGGTGCGAAGCTCAAGCTTCACCTCTGTGTAAAATTTTGCGTGGTTGGAACAATCTGTGCCACTTGCACAGCAACTGGCTGTCCTTTTTAAATGATAATCGCTCTGTTCCAGTCGATCCACTCGATGTTCATGCGCACTGTGCCGGCCTACTCGGAACAGGCTCTGGTGATGCTGGACATAGTGTCCCACTTTGGATGGAGTAGGATAGCAGTGCTGGCCACGAATGACGTAGACGGACGGAACTTCATCTCCAATATGTGGCCGGCCACTCAGAGACGCAACATCAAAGTCGACCCCTACTTCCCATTCGAGGTAAACTCAAAGTATACAGACAGTTACTAGAAGAAACTCCACTTTTTCCAAATAATGATGTAAATATGACAAAGTGAATAGGGCAACAGTGTCGCCATTCACTGGAGTTTTCGAACAGGAGCGGATTTTGGATTCTTCAGCGAGACTTTAAAAACCGTCCGATTTCTCCTGGAAATTAAAAACACTTTATGTACCAAAATTTTGAGCAGTTTCGGCGAATTTTCGTGACTAATTTTTGATAAGAGGAAACGAGACAAAGTTTCAAGTTATAAGAAACTCAAATTTTTAATGAAAGCAATTTGAAAGTAGTTGGCTTTTTTTAATGAAAGCAGTTTGAAAGTAGTTTGCTTTTTTGAAGTCAACCGTTTTTTTGTTTGATAGTTAAAATGTTTGAAATGAATTCTTGACCTCGTGAGTAAAAAAATGGATTGTTTTTGCAGCCAGGAAACAAGATGCTGATTAAGTTCCATCTGTCGCACTTGGTCAGATCGCCAACCAGAGTGGCCCTCATCTATGCCAGCAAGGAGGACTGTCTCTCTATTGCACAGGAGGCTCAGAGGACCAACATCAGTTCCTCCTTCGTGTGGATATTCAACGACTTGATCATCTCCGACATGAGCTCGGCTTCCAACCGACTCCAACAAGTGCCCCCAGGTATCAGGTGCTTCTTCATACCCGGGGAGGGGGATTAAATTTATTTTATCATTAAAATCTAACTGACTTCCTTAAATAAAAAAATCTGTGAAATTTCATTTTTGAAGAAATAAAAATGCGCATCGCTCATTTGATGGAAACAGAAAATACCTATATTGTAGTTTCAAAATGCTTCAATACAAATTAAACAATTTACTCAATAAAAATTAACCGTATCGAGAAGATGGCACAAGGTCATTGCGACGACTACAGTAGCTCTTGCTGAAATACCATCAGGAAAACTAACATTATGGCTAGAAGAGAAAACTTCAAACAAAATGTGCAATTTAATTTGAATACTTGCACTACAGTCTTGTTGTTCTCGTTTTCGTAATACTAGAATAGTCCGAGGTCTTTTAATTTTGATAGAATTTTTTTTATAAGGATAGATGCATAATCAAGTAATTGGCCTAACGATAATTCACGTTATTTACACTAGCATGTAAATGTTTGGGAGAATTTTTGCTGCATAGCATTGGCAATTTTTTCACCTGTAACTGGTTTGTTGGTAGCTAGTGTTTGCAAATTTTCAAGGGGACGTGACGCTGACTTGTAGCAACATTTTGTTAGTTTGATACTTAATTCTTTTTACAGATCTGCTTTTTTTCAATTGTTTGCTAGTTTAAGATGCGCAATTTATTCATTTTCGAAGTAAGAAAATGAACGCGATTTTTTGGCGCGCGCTCCCCCTCAAAGTTAGTATATATTTAGAAAAATTTAAGGTCAGTCAGCCAAAAATGGATATCTCAAAATAGTACAAAGGGGGACCCTTTGGGTCGACAGGGGGTCGAATCCCTGAGAAAAAAGAGACCCCCCCCCCCCACCGAAATCCGCTACTGGCTCAATAAATAACTGGAAAAATAACTTGATAAAAATAACCTCAAAGACTGGCCTCGGTCTGTGTTGGGGGTTAGACAAAGGTCATTTGGTTTTAATTGCTTAAATGCTTAAGTTTATTCTGCGGTAAACTCGACAATATTCGAGAGAAGGTGACGATTAGTTGCAGTAGCTGAAGCGGTGAACTTGTGCACTATTCCTATGCCTTGTTAAAAATTTTCTCTTGTTACGAATTTTTGCCTGTTACGAGTTGTCGCTGAACGGATGTTGTTTTGTGCCATGGTTGTTTGTTTGAATGAATTTAATAGCCGCCTGTCATACTCTTTGCTTACTTTTATGAAAAGTCAGACAATTTAATTTAATATTCCCGTCCGGAATTGATTTCCTTTTCTTCTGCAGGCATCTCTTTCAGTCTACAATTTCCCTCAATCAATTTCAGGCTCATTTTCCCTGGTGATTTCCACATTTTTAGTCAGTCTAGTCTTTTCTTTCGCAGAGAAATTTTACCTTTGAAAAGTTTACTGTAACTTCTACGAACAAGGAACAGTTTCCGAGGCAGGAAGGAGCAGTTATGAATATGACAAGGCTCAATCTATATTTTATAATTTAGTTTTGTGAACCCAACCAATGCATCCGATTTATTATCAAGTTTAAGCGTCATCCAAAAATCATTGAAATGTCATAAAACAAAATTTTTAGTTTTTTTAATTTCATACAATGATTAATTCTGTTTTAGTAGCTGCGACGAATAGTCTAAGCTCAAGTATTTTATTTTTGATTCGTTCAACAAAACCTCATACCAGATTGCAGGGAAGTTGTTATCAAGTTTGGTTTTGAAGTGAGAAAGAAACAACAACTGTTGTTGGTCCAACTGCCTAAAGGCTCGTTATTTTAGAAATGCAACTTTGAAAATGGTAAAATTTTTCAATTGTCACTCTGGTATCAAAGCAATTTTTATATTGTAAAATTGATCAGTTAATGGCACTTCTGCCGATACTATTTTATTTGAAGCTTATCAACAGATTGAAAAAGCCCATCCATCCATGCTATGCTACTACAGTTCTATTGATTTGTCAAAAAAAGCATGAAAGTAAATGAGACGAAATTCATATGGCGTTGCTTGTTATTTTAAATTCGGAAATATTATTAAGAGTCGATTTATTAGAAGTATTAGGAGTAAATTTGTTCAGGCTCTAAATGACTTTTTTGCCGTATGACTTTTTTCATTTTTTTTTCAATTTCACTTCATTTTTTTTTGTATAAAATAAGGCAAACACCATTATTGTACAGCAAAAATTAAAAGGCCACGAAAACCGTGATTGACTTCTTACTTCGAAAATGGAATGCAATTATGAGATTTCCCAGCGAAATAAAATTTATTCCCATTGATCCAGTTTTCTCAAATTGGGTTCATTTTATCAAAAAATTGCCATTGGTATAAGTTGTTCTAGAACTTCCTAGAGCATTAAGGCCATATATTTTTTCTTGGATTATCGAAGTTTGAAATTTTTTCAAAAAAATCGAGTCAGAATTTTTTTCCCATTCAATTGGAGGGAACGTATGCGCCTAGAACGGCGAAGGTCGTGGGTTCGAATCTGACTAGGGCTTGTTTTTCCTAACGGGAAATATTCCGGTTCAAAAAAATGTCATAGCCTATTATTTGTCTGCTTTTGTTTTGTCGGCTTAGTTGCCACATATTAGAATTTTTTGCTCTAAGAAATTTTCTTTGTTGTTCATTTTAATGTTTTGATTTGTTGCTGTTATTTGTAATTTAGTACTAGACTTGCCTTGACTTCGTTCTATTTCTAAAAAAAATTGATTCGACCCGAATAATTCCGGCTTATATTCTATCGGCTCATCGACCGAGTTTTGGATAGCTTCAAGGGAAATGGATTTTTTGGTTCCCTCCAAATCGAACAAATTGCTAAAAGTCTTCGAATACAGTTTATAGTTCAAAGTTTTTCATGACAACATTTTTGTTTCGGCTCTACGGTCATTTACCCAACGTTTTTTGTCTCAGTTGCCGCTCGATTATTGTTTATCAATTTTAATTAAATGCCGTTGATTGTGTTCCTGGACGTATATTCCACAAATAAACCAACATTCCCGATATCATTTTGAAGTCTTTTTAGTTGTGGTTTTTACGAAATAATTCAATTTTTTGGACTTAGTTGATCTCTTTTCCTGTCCGCTAGCTTATAATGCTCTTTTTATGTGGTATCGCAGATGGTGCAAAGCGTGTGAAACTCTGTCCTTTTTTTTCTGTTATCCGAGGTAATTAATAGTTTTGCAACAGCATTTTACAATTTTGGTCGTGTGTAGCAAAAATAGACGGTTTTGTCTGCTAAGACTTACACGATAAAACCATCTTTGAATTTCCTTTGACAGGAATTGTTTCGAAAGGTGCTTCAAAACCGGTGACTGCAACTTCAAAAACAAGAGAATGTCGATTGAAGGCGATTTGAGATATGATGTATGTCACGTGGCGTCGTCTCCAGCAATATCTACAAATATAGTAAAGGAAAGAATAAAAAGGAAAGTCGAAGATATATTAAGATATCGTTCGTTTGATTTCCAAGATACAACAGGCTGTTTTTTAAAGATAAATAAATAAATAAAAGGAATCTAGGAGTCTCATTAAGTCAGATTAGCTTAAGATTTTCGAGTTAGCAAGTAAAATGTTCAAAGCGATGCATTTGTTATTGCATTGGCGAATATTTCAGGGATGTCATGAAAACGCGCAATGTCGTCAAGTTTTCACAACCAAGAAACTGATTGAGTTTATAACTAATATTGTTCGATTGTTTGGCTGCTTATCGTCGGTTAAACTAACTTTGCATATATTCAAGGGTCTTCTAGTTTTCAGATTTCGTTTGGTTCATCGGTTTTCGCTACTTCGCCAAATTAGTAAAACGAATTAGGTTACAAAAAGTTAAGCTGCACCAATGAATACGCTGTAAGTAGTCATCTCATTGGAAAGAATCATTGTTTTTTTTCGAATCCTCTTTTTGCAAGAATTCATATTAGGATTTTTTGATGATCGAATTCAATGTCATATTAATAAAAATGGCTCACTGACCGAATCGAGCCGTTCACACTATAATGATGCATCGGAGTACTGGTATACCACATTTTTAAGTGTAAGAGAATGAAGTTATTTTCAATTGTATAGGTCTTGATTTTTTCAGGTAAAGTTTAAAATGCTCACAGTTACAGAAAAGCATTCATAAGAATTAATAATTTTATGAATGCACTCAGGTTTATATGCACTTTCATAGCTCAAATCAAATTCATCTTTTAAAAGATAGGTAAATTGCGTTCTCCAATTATTAAAGAGGCTTTGAGACGGCTTTGTATTTTAATATTAGATTTTCCTGCGGAAAACAAATTTATCCATTAATAAAATTTTTCTTGAATTGGCTTAATTCTATCAAAAAAAGTGTCAATGATAATTTTTTTTTGAAATAAAAAAATTGCTGTAGTTTGGTGTATATGTATTTTCGGTTTTCTTGTTCATTTATACTTTTCCAACCTTCAGTTTGTGTTTTCCCTGGCTTTTAGCAAGAGTTTTTTAATTGGCTACTAGACTTTCCCGTCCACAACTTTTCTAGCTGAATGCCAGAAAATGAAAATTTTCAAGTTTCAAATGTGGCAGTGTGTGTATGCTGTGTTTTCAAGGATACAATGAGTTTTCTCCCAATAATTTTTTGTGTATTTTCACCTATTGGGTGTCGGCTTCAAAGTTTTCGGCTTATTGTTATATTATGATTTTTCTGTATATATGTATATTATTAAGTTTCCCAATGTTAATTTTGCGTGAATTCTGCTATCGTAGGGTAGGAACCAGCTGTAGTCATCACTAACACTAGAGGTCATCGAAAGTAATATTATTTTAAAATCTGTACAGTTAATATTCGAAATCCTAGAAAACTTCAATTAGTTTCAGTGCCAAGAGGAACTGGTCCGATCTTTACTGGCTTTCTGACTGATTTTATGGAATTCCATTGAATTCCATTCGGACGAATATTTTTCGGACGAATTTGAATATTTTGAATTCCATTCGGACGAATTGTCTTGAACGATTTTTTAAAAACAGCTGACAGTTCTGAAATGATGTTTCAGGTGCCTTGATCCCTCGGCTAAAACACGCAGAAGACACGGAAGCACATCTAATGGATGCTATCAGGGCTGCAAAGTACTCTTACCAGTCGATGATCAAGAAAACACAGGCTCAAAAACTGCGCACGATGACTCAGAACCAGCCAGAGGTGAACCCAGACGGATCTGTCGACTTCGACTACGACTTCACCAGTAAGATGAGATAAAAGATAAATCTTTATTCATCCTTTCGTGGGAATCCTTCATGCGCAGGACCGAATGCGCAAAAGGTTTGTCAACCAATCAGCGCTCAGTATTCAAAAATTCGAAAAATAGGCAATAAATTCAGTCAATTGTTCGGGAATTGATATACGTGAGAATGTTTGAGTATCCGGTCGTGCATGCATGAAAATAGTTTCCTCCACGCCTTTTGGAAAAATAGTCAAAAGAGATTTTCGTTGTTTGCTTCGTTGTTTGCTTATTTTCAACAGGGCTGACAATATTTGCATATACTTGACCGTTGGATTAGTTCATTATATGGGGCAATTGTTTTTGCTTCTGGAAGAAATTATTGAATTAAGCCAACAAAATAGTGGGAGTCTTTTAATGCAACTTAGGATGAAAGTCTCTGTTTAAGTTCAACTGAATGATAATGCTGGGTTTTTTTTATGCTGGGTTTTATGTAAAAACTTGCGCTCTCTTATATCTAATTTGCAACTGAATTTATAGTTTTTGGAATTCCCAGCGGAATACAATTGCTTGTGAAATCAGATTAATCAATTGAGTTGATTTGTTATTAAAAAAACGTCCATGACAGAAGACTTCTGAAGACAGAATACTTCTAAAAAGCGTCTATGACAGAATTTAAAGAGCTTCTCGGTTTTGTCAATTTTCAGTGAAAATGTCTTACTGGTCAGTTAATTGCAGAGCAATAATAAATTCTGTACGTGTTTTTATATGCTGGGTTTCATTTTCAATTAGTTTTTTTTTTTGTAAATCAAGACAACCACTAATTGTGAAAGGTTATCGAAAGTTTGTTAAAAGAGCTTTACGGCGAAATTAAAGTAGAACATCAAAAACATGCATTCCTTCGCTTTGGGTTTCCTTGAGTGCATTAAGAACGATAATTGTGGTTTCTGCAATTCGCAGAGGGTCTATCGAAAGTTATCCGGTCTGTCTAAGTCCAGGTGCTTTCTATTATCTCCCCACATTCCAGACAAAGTCGTTTTTGTTGGACTTAAACCTGGAATTGCCGGATGACTGTTTGTCATTTTAACCAGGTACACGGACCCCTTTGACAGACGAGGAATTGCTGAAGTTGGCGAAGGAGGGGGGCAATCCGGCCCCCACCCCCAAGGAGTGCGGGGGAGAGGGGGCACATTGGGCTGATGGACACAAGTACCTCGGGTAAGTTAAAAGCGAGGTTTCACATTGAGCTAATTGTGCTACTTATGAGCTAAATGTAGTTTTCGAGTTCTGTTCTTCCAGTTGACAGCGATTCTTCAACTTTAAGTATGATCTCTGGATTTTTATATGACACTTGAATAAATTTGCTTGCTCATGTGGATGTTTCTCGCCAAGAATTTTGGCTCCAGGTAACTCCAACTGAAATATCAATTGAAATTTTCTGCATGATAAAATAAAATTTTGAGACTATCCTGTGATGGCAATTAAAATTTTCTACGATTTTAAAATACGATAGCGAACACCATTACGATACCTGCCACAATTACGAATGATTTTTAAATGTTAAAAGCTACGGAAACTAAACTGACAAAAATAAGGAGAGAACTGATTGTCTCAAAGATGGATTTTGATGAAGCAGAAAATTACTTGGATTCTAAGATTTTGTAAATTGTTTTCGCATTGAAGGTTTCTTCGGTTAATGTTATAATGGTCTAGTTTCCTGATGTTACGTCGCTTGAAGCGCCTAAAATACGTTTGCCCATTGGGAGGTCGTAAAAACTTTTCTTGCTCTAATTTTTTGTTGCAATTTTTTTTACTCAAAGAGTGTCTATCCGAGTAATGTCTGCTGCGTTAACGCTTGATAAATTTTGGTTATTCGACATTTCTCAACAAACAAATTTTTAGCAAATAATTTTCAAGATTGAAGCTGTTTTTTTTCGACTCCAGTGCTTCTCTTCTTTTCTTTCGGCTGCCATGCTATTTAATGTTGTATCGCAATTGGTTCGAAACTCCGCTTCATCTGTGTAAAATCAACCTAGAAAAAGTATTGAATTTGTGCTTAGGTCTTAGTCAAAGTTATAACAGCAGTTTTTTTTAGGTAAAAGAACGAATTGATCTAACTTTTTCAGGACGGAATGATGTTTTTCCGTTTTTTTTTAAAGTGTGTTCACGCTTAAAATAGATGTTTCGCGGTTTAATTTTGATTAATTCGGTTTGTTTTTCTGAAGTTCTGCAGAATAAAAATCCTATTAATACAGTTTACTCTAATGGGGATACATTTATGAGAAAAGTGCCGCTTATAAGCAATTTTTGCAGTTCCAAGAGCTTTTACGTGATTCACCTTGCGAGACAAAGTGGCATGTAATCGGGAACTGGACTATCTTTGTCTTTTTGTCTCCCGTAAACAACTTTTCTTTCGCATTCTATAAGAAGTACCTGCTGTTCATGCAGTTGCTTTCATGTGCAAAACGTACAAGCTGACATGCTCAAATTCTTCAAAACTCAAATACAACTACCTCTTAGATCATTTTTGGTAGTAATTAGTATTTACACTTCCGAAGCGAGTGTATTAGTACGAACTTTCTTTTTTCCAAACTAAGTCGCAAATAAAAGTGCTACTTATGGTGGCACTTTGAACGATAGGCTGCTGTTTAGCAGTATAATGTCATATTTGCTTTATCATCTGATTAGTAAAAAGTTAACACAGTTGATGAATTTTTAATTCATCAAATGAACCGAAAAAGTTATTTGTTTCAAACAGCAGTACAATGATAAAAATATCGATTTCAGAAATTTTCAAACTCAATTTATCTCGCAATTTTTTTGAAATGCATTATTTATACAAAATTTGGCTTTATGCTTTCCAATTTATTACTTGCAAAATTGTCTTTTTGTATTTGATCTTTCCTTTTTTTTCCAAACGCAATTAATATTGTGTCAATCTTTACAAGCAGGTTTTTTCCAATGCTAGTTTTTTTTTATCTTTGATTCAAAAAATTTATATTATTATTGATAGTTGTTCTATTGTGTGTAAATAAACCAACTCTGATTGATTTTTTTTCGGTTAAATGGGCTGAGTTCTATGAGTATCGGCTTAGTCAACTTATAATGCGTAGAATCAAGAGCGAGTTTTTTATATAGTTTACCTCCGCTTCAACTCTGTATTTCAACCGCAATTCTTGTGAAGCTCCGCTTCACCGCTGTATATATTTTTTTTCGAAAAATTTCCAATTCGTTTTTTTTTTTCACATATTTTTTAATTTACTACAGATTTTGCACGCTTTTCGAGCCATCTGTTGACTATATTTGACGCAGACTCAAACACATCCTGAAATTGTCTTCCATCTCATAGATAAATATTCTCAAGCAGTTACATGCGCCGGCATTTTTTGTCGGGGGTTTTTTAAGACAATTTGGACTAAATTAGTATTAAAAGGCAACCTTTGGAATTATCCCCACATCGGCGCGTTTCTAGTCTTAAACTTTCTCTTTTGTTTATAGTGAATTGAAGAAGTTCAAGCAGAACCCGGCCGAGACGGGCGACTTGGCCTTCAACTTGGAGAGTGGGGACAGACTGAACTCCGAGTACGAGATACTGAACATGCGAGCCACTCCCCCCTTCCTAGTCCCAGTGGCCAGCTGGAGTGCGAACGAGGGGCTGGGAGTGGACCCGGCGGGGGAACAGATTGTATGGCCCAGTGGGTCCACAGTCAAGCCACAGGGCGTGGTCGTGTCCAAACATCTCAAGGTTGATAAATGATTGATCTTATTTCATGCTCTCCGTTAATCTTCAGGGTGTGCAGTTTTTGTTCAGGGTGTGCATTTTTTTGGGATCAACCGTACCACCCCCCCCCCCCCCCTAAGTGACTTACCGTAGAATGCCCTCCCAAGCATGTATTAATTCTGAAAAAAAAAAATTTCTGTTTAAGAAGAAGAATTTATTTCTTCAGACAATTAAATGCAAAAATACAGAAAATGAAGAAACACATATTTAATAGTCATCATTGAATTTATCTGACATTTTGTATAACATATCTGAAGAGGATAGACCAAGGGCATAATAATTGCCCGCTTGACGTCTAGCCTGGTAATAGTAAGACACGAAAAGTATAATAACTATAAATAAAAAGTATTTAAATAATAAAAATGAAAATTTTTTCAATTTGTTTTTTTTTCCACTCCTTTCGAAAACATCTTTTTTTCGAGAATTTATTTAGAGGATCCGGATCATGATTGCAGCTTAGCTTAGTGAGCATCAGTTAAAACTAAGGATCGTAATAAAAATTTGAATTTTTTTTTCCTAAGTAATTTTGGAAACTTCATTTTTTTCAAAAAATGCGATTATCTCGAAAACTACAAGGATTTGGAGCTTCATATTTTCAGCATGGATTCGCAGCCCATAATTGAAGTCTGATACAGGTTGACCAAAGGGATAAAAATATGGTACTATTGATTAGACATTCTGTGATTATTTATCGAAAATAAAATTTGTTAACTCATTATTTCCTAAAGTGGATAAATACTTTAATTTGTGAGCTACCGTAAGCACCTGGCTTGCATTTAGAGACTGCGAATTAATTGGCATAATTCCGTTTTCCTGAAAAATATTAAAAAGTTTGGTTCCCCGTTTAGTTAAGTGGTTTTCTATTTGGGATTTTGGCTTACATATTTTCAGTAAATTCTTTTCCGATCGTCTGGTTCTTTTAATAGAATTATCAAAAGTAAAAAGCGAGTTGAGATAATTTTCTGAATGCAGGTTCGATAGTGATCTTAATAGAAACTTGAAACACTCATAAATATACAATTCATGAACTGTAAGTATTTTGTGCTTTACAAATATATCTGACACGCTTTCGCAATTGTTTCGAAAAGAAATGAGTCGGATAATTTTTTTCTGTAATTCAGAAAGCGGAAGTAATGCATTGTAGCTTGTGCAACCGTACACTAAAATTCCATACTGAATGATAGACCTAATGTTTGATTCATAATACCTAAACATAACAGAGCTCGGCACGTAATGCCTTGTTTTAGCAATTACTCCACATTGTTTTCGTAATTTTTTTCTGACAAAATCAGTATGATTAGAAAATCCTAGTTTGAAATCAATGTTAATACCTAAGTATTTCCAATATGTTTCTGAAGATAAGTTTTTGCCATCATATAATATTGTTTCATTAGAAGCGCTTTTCCTACTGAAATTTATTTGAACTGTTTTTTTCATGTTAAGTGAGAGCCTATTAGCGGCAAGCCATTTCGCAACTGCATTAAAGTCATCACTCAGTTTTTCGAGTGATCGATCTATTGCTACTAAAGTGGTATCATCGGCAAACAAGTATACTTCCGAGTTCTTGACAACGTTTGGTAGATCATTGACATATAAAAGAAAGAGAAGTGGACCTAAAATGGATCCTTGTGGTACACCGCTGTTCATTGTTCGAAAATTTTATCGCACACCAGATATCTCTACACATTGTTTACGATTTGACAAATAGCTCACTATCCATTGTAGACATTTACCTACAAGACCATAATATGGCAATTTTTTAATTAAGATATCATGATTTAGGGTATCAAAGGCCTTCTTTAAATCAAGGATTATTGATGGAATGAATTTCTTATTTGAAAGGCGCAATTTTTCGGTAACCTCGGCGATGGCATCAATGGTGTTGTGTTTGATTCTGTATCCAAACTGTTTACAGTATATGAAGTTAAATTGCTCTAAATAATTATATATTCGGTTGAACATCACACGTTCGAAAGTTCTACCTAACGTCAAAAGCCAAGCAATTGGCCTATAATTGTTTAAATCTAATTTGGATCCATCCTTGTGAAATGGCAGTATTTTTGCTTGGGATAACTCGGTGGGAAAGATTGCTTGCTTAATGGAAGCATTGATCAGTATTGTTAAGCTCGGTATAATTGCACACGCACATGCTTTCAGAATATTATTACTAACATCATCTAGCCCTACGGAGGCTTTTGATTTTAAATCGGATAGAATTGAGGCAATTTCTTTTTCATTAACTGGTTTTAGGTATATTGATACAATTGGCTCCTTAATTCTAATTTCTAATTCAGGAGTTGATAACTGTTTCACCAATTTATCTGCAATTTGTCCAAAAAAGTTGTTGAAGTCGTTTGCAATTGTCTGTGGATCTGTATGCCTATCGCCGCTTTCACTAATAATATCACTGACATCTCTATTACTTCTATTCGATCCTTTTAACATATTTAAAAACGTATATATTTGTCTGGAGTCACCAATACATGTTTGAAATTTCTTCATATAAAAATTTTTCTTAGAGCTTCTGATTTCTGATCTAACTCTGTCATTTAATTCCTTATACCGCAGCTTGATCAAGTGATTATATTTACTTTGCACCAATAAATGATGCTGCTTATTTCTTTTAGTGATGAGGTTTTTAATTATATTTGATATCCACGCAGGACACTTCGTGGTTTTATTAACTTTTTTGATCATTGGGGCAAATTGGTCCAAAACTTTAATAAGCGTTTTGTGAAACCTTGAAAAAGTTTTATTTACATTTTCATTTTCGTTCAATGATAAATTGTTCATTTCATGCAGTAATACGAAGTTGAAATTTTGAACCTTTTCTGCACTCTTTAGAAAAGACGTATCTCTTACTAGGATTGCTGCATTATCATTATCTGAACTGTCTTTATTGAATTTAATTATAACCGGATAATGATCTGCAAAATTTTGATGAGTTAACACACTCACAATTGAATCACTAACATTTGTAATAAAATGATCTAAACATGTTTCTGAATTTTCTTCAACCCTTGTGGGTGAAAAACTTAAAAGACTGAATCCATTTGATTCTCGATGTATTTAGCTGTTGCTGAATTATGTTTCTTAATATCTATATTAATATCTCCACACACAATGACTTCACAATTTAAGTATTGCAAGCTCTCCAATACTTCATCCAGTTTTTCAATGAGCTCCAATTTGTTATTTCTTCGTTTCCTTTGTTTCCTCTTATTTTCAGTTCTAGCATAAGGCTTTCATCAATGGAACAATTCAAAACTTCTTTTAGTGATTGAAACAAGATTCCTCCTCCTCTTGTTGGCCTGGGCTTGGATACAACATTGTATCCACTTAACTTATATATATTTTTTCATCGTCCTCTTTATCTAGCCATGTTTCAGTGACAGCTACTATATTAGGCGGTGACTCCAGACTATATACTAGCGCTTCTATTTCTTCGCTGTGTTTTTTAACGATCTAGCATTTATAAGATGCACACTAATTGGCATTGTATCAATTTTAGCACATGCTTTTTTCAATTTTGGTTGTTAGTTAGTTACAAAGCATTGCTCTAGATCAGCTAATTGATACTTCAACTTCAACCCTCCCTCAAACAATCCCTTGATGGTCTGCACCCTTGAATCTCCATCTAGTTTGTAGTTTATTGTTCCCTCTCTTGTCCATACATTTTCAATTCTCGTATCTGTCTTCATCATATTAAAAAATTTCACTCTTGCCAGCGTTAGATCCTCAAATACTCGTACATTTTTCAGTTCATCGCTGTCTTTGAATTTCTTATTATTTCTTAAAAGATCTATTCTTGAGCTCCTATTAGCGAATCGGGCAATAATAGGTCTCGGTCCTTGTGATAGGGTGGGAAGGCGATGGGCGATTGAGATATTGCTTTTTTCCAGGTTACTGTCCACTTTACTTGCAATATTGATCGCTTTTACTGTAGTGGCGTTTTCTGGAATTCCCATTATCCGGACGTTTTATCTTCTAATATTTGTTTCAATCACTTCTGATTCGGACAAAGCTTTGAGGGCCATTTCTCGACTTTACCACGCCATCTGTCTTTTCACTTAGTTTTTTACTTCCAGTTTTGCTTCTCCTATGGCTTTGTTGAGCATCTCCTCGAATGTCGTTTTCAAACTTTCTTTTATTTTTTGAACAATTTCGGCAGTTATTGCTTTCATCTTCTCTTCAATGGTGTCTGAGATGGTCCTTGAAAAATCTCCTCCTTCAATAATAGAGTCGAGTGGACTTAGATCGATTTTTTGTCGCTTTTCTCCTTTTCTGACTGTTGTGAATGGCGTCTGATCCTTGTATCTCAATACTAGAATTGTCTGCTCCTCGGTCGTTATTGTTTGATCCTCCGCGTTGTTCTCAGTTTGCGTCTCCGCCACAATATTTAAAGAGCTTCTCGGTTTTGTCAATTTTCAGTGAAACTGTCTTACTGGTCAGTTAATTGCAGAGCAATAACAAATTCTGTACGTGTTTTTATATGCTGGGTTTCATTTTCAATTTGTTTTTTTTTGTAAATCAAGACAACCACTAATTGTGAAAGGTTATCGAAAGTTTGTTAAAATGGCGTCTGATCCTTGTATCTCAATACTGGAATTGTTTGCTCCTCGGTCGTTATTGTTTGATCCTCCGCGTTGTTCTCAGTTTGCGTCTCCGCCACAATATTTGTCTGCATTTCGCTCTCCTGCATTTGGTTTTCCATCATCTATCGTCTCTGAAACTATTTAATAATTTTTATATGCTGGGTTTCATTTTCAATTTGTTTTTTTTTTGTAAATCAAGACAACCACTAATTGTGAAAGGTTATCGAAAGTTTGTTAAAATGGCGTCTGATCCTTGTATCTCAATACTGGAATTGTTTGCTCCTCGGTCGTTATTGTTTGATCCTCCGCGTTGTTCTCAGTTTGCGTCTCCGCCACAATATTTGTCTGCATTTCGCTCTCCTGCATTTGGTTTTCCATCATCTATCGTCTCTGAAACTATTTAATAAGTTTATCACAACAATTAAAATATGCATTTCATACAAACGCGCAAATAAAATAGCTGCATACTTTTTATGCGGGATTGAGTTTGTATGCTGTTAATTACCTAGATTAAAATTTTAATTCAGTTTTTTTTAGTAGTACTGTTAATTTTGAACGAATCTAGACTATACTCGAAGTTAACTTATGAAAAATCCATGTTTTCTCTCCCGTAAGTCGATTTTTTTTTTTTGGGGGGGGGGGGGGGGTTGTATGGTTGATCCCATCTTACCATTATTGGGTGTAATCCTCCTAGATTGCTCCAAGATCTGTTGTGCATCAAAAACTATTTTTCCGATGTTTTTTATGATTTTGACACTTGTGGCTCCTCCCACTTTCCGGCCTCAACGTTTTCATACAAGGTCTCTCGTGAATGAGTGCAAATTAAGGGAGACGAGAATTGTACCATTTAAATCAAACAGGCGGCAAAGGTGCAGATTGTTTAATATAACATAAATCGGCGACCAAACCGACAAAGATATGGCATAACTAAATTGTTTGATCTAGCTTTTTGAGAAATTTTCACCATGTTGGTGGAAATTAGCTAATAAATAAATATCCAGTTTTTGATTCAAGTTAACATATTTGCCACAAGATAGAAATTTGCTAAGCGCTGCATGTAAATTTCTTGATTCTGATGGCTGAAAAATCTAACATC